CGCACAACTGCCCTTCAGCAGCACAACACTCACGCCGCAAATGTCTGCGTCCACCCCGCGGAGGAGAAAACAAAATAAAACGAGAAAATAAAGAGGGGGAGGCGCAAGTGCCCGGCCACAGCGCCCCCTGGCGGGGCTCCGCGCAGACGGCGGCGGCAGCCCGCAGTGAAGGCCGCGGCGACAAACGCGCGGGCCGCACGACCGCACACTCGCCGCCCCAATAAACAAACACAGAGACGCACACACACCCACACACACACTGGGAGCGCCCCGCAGTTTGGGGCGCCGCCCCGCAGAAGTCAAAAACAAAACCCACAAGCGCGAGTCACGCGCCGCCGTCTCCCGCCGCCTTTTAGCCCACCACAACGCGCCCAACGCCGGCCACCTCCCTCAGCGCTGTGCAGCAGGAGTGCGGCGTGGCGTAAAAACGAACTCAAAAAAATAAGTCAAAATTAAGCAGCGCAGTGGCACCGCCGCCGCCCCCGCCCCAAACGCAACCGCCCGCTCCCCAGCCGCGCCGCGGTGCTCGTGGAAGTGAGGCGCCACAAGAGAGGGCAAAGGGAAAAGATGAAGCCGTTCCACTCACTACACACAGCAATTGCGTCTTCGTGTGATATCGCTACGTGGTACTGGTGCACCTCGTTGTCCCAAAAGGTCCTGTGCCTCTCATCTTCCGCACTGGCCCTGTCGCCCGCATTCATGCACTCCTGACACGCGTGTACCGTCACGCTATCCGCAGGCTGCGCGTAAATAATCTCCCACGGCAAACCCCGGGCAAACGCCTCCCAGCCGTCAAAAAACTCCGCCAGCTGCTCGTTGAACTGCCTCGCCGTGTCGGTTGCAACGCGGCGCGCCTTCGCCGCGCTTGTCTGCAGCCCAACCGTCGTCCTCCGCGGCGCCCCAACGAAGAAAAAGTCGTCCACTAGCGGAAAGTTTTCGACCCCCGGCACGTACAGCACCCGGTACTTTGCGTCCACCTTCCCGGGATGGAGCACCTTCGGCCGCAGTGCAGCCGCGTCGGTGGGGCACAGCCACGGGTCCGTTTGCAGCAGGCAGGGGCGTGGCTCGCGTCCCGTCGGGGGCTGCGGCTCGCGCAGCTTGCGCCGCATCCTGCCCACAAAGCCTGGGTACGTGAACGCGCCGATTGCGTGCACCCGCACGGCGGACGGCAGCAGCACATGATGGGGCATCAGCACCGTCATGAAGCCGGCGCGCGTCCGCATCGCCCTCGCCACGCGCACCAACACTTCGGCCTTGACCGCAGCAGAAGCCGGGACGTTCTGGAAGCACTCCGTCCCCCGCCCCGTCACCACCCGGACCCATCTTCGAGAAATCTTCCGTCGGAACGCCGCAGCACCACAAAACCGTTTTGTCCAGCCCGACGTAGCAATTGACGGCCCATGCCGTGAGCCGCCCCATCGCCCCCTCCAGGCGACTCGCAAGCTTATGCCAGCGTCCGTCCAAAACGTTGCGCTGAATTGGGCCCGCAAGAGCCATGCCCTTTCGGACGCCCTCCCAGTACTTCACCTGTTCCTCCGCAGAGCATTCGCGCACCTCCCAAGCACCCATCGCCGTCACATCGCTCTCGTCAGGGCAGTCCATGACGATGCGGCGGGCGCCCAGTTCATCCTCCCACTCCCTGTAGCGAGTTTCTTCTGGGGGCAGCACGACGAGCACGCCCCAGCCGGCGGGAGGGAGTTTGACGGATAACGCCTGCTGTTTTCCCCACATCACGTCACAGATAATATACCCCCTCGTGCGCGTGGCGACCTCCAGAAAACTCTCCGCCGCCGAGCCCAACCGAGGGAGGCGCGACATCGTTTTGGTGGCCTTGCCAAACAGAAAAGCACTGCCTCCAACGAAGTACGCAACCGTAGGGAGTTGCTCTGCGTCGTAGTGCAGCAGCTGGTAGGGGAGGTAGGCGCCGGCCGCCACCGACTTCCCGATCCCGGACGTCCCGGTCAAGGCACGCCGCACAGGCGCGGAGTTCGCTCCGCCGTGCGTGCCCAACGATGCTTCCAGGTCGCCCTTGACGATCCGCCACACCCGCTCCACCTCGGAGTGAACGCAGCAGTCGGGGAAAGACCGTAGCTGGAGCGGCCATCCCTTCTCCGAGATAAGCACCAGGAGCCCGGGGCGCGGTGGAGAGAATTGCGCCGCACCGTCCTCCATTAGAACAGTTGCCCCCTCACCTTCCACCCCCACGGCTCGGGCGCCTGCC